AGAGAGAGGTCCACGTGGAGTTATATCAGTATTTATCAGTGTGATATGTTTTGAAAACAACTGAACTTTAACATTCACCTAATTGCACACCGCTAATGTCCACCGCCTCAAAGCTCTGCGATCTGTACTCTTTCAAAATTAAAGAAGTAAAGCTTTTCGAGGAGTATGCAGGAGAGGAAACAAAGTACCAATGTGGTGGCTGTGATAGCGTGGGCCACTACTTTGATAATGTGACACATTTAATGAGTCACACACGTAGAGCTGTTATCGCCCCAAACAGCTCTACCCTGCTGATGCCAATGAAAACTTTTAGACAAACTCAGCGTTCTTTTGCTCATTACACTGACCTGTCAGAAATGACAACTTGGCCCAGTCTGGTTATTCCATGCTGACAAGGTACCATTCAGGCTTCGCAGCAATAATGTCAGCTTTTAAAGGTGCAATGTACTTAAGGAAGCTCATTTCTATGATTTGGCCAAAAAGAGCCATTTTCCTTGTCAGTGGTGAGGAATGCCTTAGTTTTCTTTAAATTAGGAGTCGTTTTCATGGAGATTGTTCCTGGGAAAATCTGCAGAAAGGAGAGAAGCTATTTTTGAAAGGTTTAAAATAATTTAGCCTACTGAGCAATACTGTGATTACCCAGTGTGTTGAAGACAGACATGTACTCTTTGCTCTGTCCGAAGCGTATTTTAAAACTACAAATAATGCAACAAATAAAACTTCAATTTCTGTCATGATCACTATGCACCCTCCACTGAAGCAGAGGACAGTGTGCTAAAAAGTTTTTCTATACAGTTTGGAGGCACAAAATGCAGAATATGGAATAAGATGGAGGTAACAGTATGACAAGATGCTTTATTCCTGTGCCTGAGCTAAATTTCTTTTTAGCTTTTTCCAAGAAGTAGGAATGGAAAGAATGTTAATGCTAGGGTTGAGCATTACAAATAAGTCTTGTAAAACTACAGGGACGTCTGGGGATAAGCTAGTAAATTGAAACAAGAGATAGGAAAACATAAACAAACTACTTCCTTCTCTGACTTTTTCTCCTAACAAAATGTTCCAGTGGTGTACACCTGTACTCTAAATCCTTGGTGTAACTCAAATTACGGTTCCAAGTCTAAATATGCAGCATCTTTACTCCGTTATCTCAACATATTGCTTCTAAAACTTAATAGATCAATGGATAGATAGTAGACAGACAGATATAGCTGGGTTTGCATCAGTTAGGAGGCTGCCTGAGATATTTATCAATATAGTAGATTCAAATCCAATCTTACCATCCTTATTTTTGTTTGCATGTTTTCTACCTATTTCAGATTATCTGGTTTACTATAGTATTATAGACAATGTTTAATCAATTCCTGCAGAAGCCTCTAGCAGTATCTCACAAATGGCTATGGGAACACCATTAGGCCACTATTGTTGTTTGAATGCACTCTCTTTTAAAACAAGAATCCTTTAGCTGGGCATCAGACTGCATTCGAATCATACTCAGATTCTAGGTTGCTGAGCATTTCTAGCCAAATATCTGTATATGCCCCAAACATATGGAGATGACTCAAAACACCATTTGAATGGCCATACTTTATTATGTTAAGAAATGTTCTCAAAACATCCATCACCAAAATACAAGGCGACATTTTTAAAAACACACATCCTGAGATTAAAGTTTCTAGATAATTTGTTAGCTTTCTGTCACTGAAAAAATACTTCATACACATCAATTTAAAGGAGGAAACTTTTATTTTGGCTGGTAGACTGAGAGGATTTAGCCCGTGTCACTTAGCTGCATCTCTGTGAACCTGTGGTAGGATAGAAACTGTGGTTGAATGAAGCTTCTCTGTTTATGGTGGCAAGATGTTATATAAGAAAGAAGGGCTGGGGACAAGTAGCTTACAAAGGAATGTCCCCAGTGACCTACTTCTTTCAGCTGTGCCTCACCTCCTAAAATTGCCACCACCTTCCAACTGACTATTAAGTTGTGAATGGAGGGATCCATT